GGCGGAGGGTGGGGAGCCACGCGGGGAGGGAGCTTCCTGGAAGATACTTCCACGCATGTGCCTGCAGGAAGCAGACCTGCCCAAGAGCCAGAGAAGGGACCCCATTCCCTCGTATGGGGCAGCGTCTAGCGGGGTGGGGGGTGCGGGGGGCTGTGCCTGGGGCGCCAAATGGTGCAGATCCAAAGGTGCTACTGAGCCCCCATAACGAGCTGCCCCCTTGGGTTAATCTGTTTGCTAAGCCCGGGACCTGGCGCGTCCACACCCCCACAGCTCGCCCACTGGGAGATGCCTCCGGTCCTACGCCCCTGTCCCCACCCGTGTCTGCCTTCTGGGAGCGGCTGTCTGGAGGGCATTCTTTCCTTCCCCTTGGTGGAGGCCCCGCTTCCTAGGGACACCCAGGGACACACGCTTTTCTCTGTACCTACTAGAACATGCCCAGAACCACATCCTCTACCGTGAGACCCGCCTGTCCTAGACCCAGAGGGGCTGAGACACAGACAGCCTTTTTAAAAATTGTGGTAAAATGTACATAATGTAGATTTGCCATTTTAGCCTTTAAGTTTTTTTTAACCTTTGAGTGAGAGACACAGAGCGTGAGCAGGGGAGGGGCAGAGAGAGAGAGGGAGACACAGAATCCGAAGCAGCTCCAGGCTCTGAGCTGTCAGCACAGAGCCCGAGGCAGAGGCTCGAACCCACAAACTGGGAGATCCTGACCTGAGCTGGAGTCGGCAGCTCAACCAGCTGAGCCACCCAGGCGCCCCTTGTTTAGCCTTTTTAAAAAGCACAGGTGGGAGGCACTAAACACCTTCTGCTGCTGTGCGGCCATCACCACTGTGCGTCTCTAGAACTTCTTTTCCCAAACAAGCTGCGTCCCCAGAAACGCTAACCGCCCCCCAGTCCCAGGCCCTGGTGCCCCAGACGTTCTGACAGCGAGATGTCCTGGAGCCGCATGTCCCCGAGCCCCCCGCCCCTGGTGAGGCTCCTGGCAGGATGCAGAGGCTCGGGCGCCGCCTGATCCCTGAGTGGTGCCCGCCCCGGCCGGCCGGCTGGCTGCCCCTGAGGTTTCCCGAGTGCCCCGGCCCCAGACTCCGCTCCGCCTGGGTGGGCCCTCGGCACCTCCCCCACGGGGTCCCTCTGTGTGGCTGCTTCCTTCCGGGGACTTCTGTTCCTCTGTGGGGTGGGCTCCAATGAAGCTGTTCATCAGGGAGGTGGAGGGGCCCAGGCAGTGCTCTGCACCGGGGCTGGCTCATCAGCCTGGTGTCCCTGGCCCCCAAGGAGGGGAGGTGGCAAAGGAGGAGGAGGGGGAGGGAGGAGGGGGAGGGAGGAGGGGAGGGGAAGGGGGAGGGGGAGGGGGGGGAGGAAGGAGGTACTGTGGAAACAGTGCAGGAGTTCCTGGCCCTGACACTCACCAAGTAATTAGTTTTTAAATCAGGCAAACGGTTCAAGACCCACTCACTCTGGGCAGCTTTAATTATTCATACACCCTCTTTATTCTCATTATTTACAGCCGGGAAGGAAGGTGCTTTCTCCCCGGGCTCTGGCCACATTCGCTCAGCTGCGGCTCCTCTGCCAGCGCCCCAGCTTGCTGCAGGGGGGGGGG